ACCTTTTTTGGCTTAGTAATGAGTTTTTGAAACTTTGATATGTCGAAAAATTTATCAGTTCATGGGTATATTTTAAAATTAGTTAAGATCGATTTCCGATACGATCCTATAAATCAATTGCAAAATATGCTCTCGAATTTAAAAGGAATTCCTTCAAGGCTCTTTTCTATGTTCTAAATATAGTACAATTTATAAACCTACTTCAGATACAACATTTTTATGAGTGTAGATATACTTTCGGTTGGGTTCGGTTATGTTGTGGTTCCTTTTGTTTGCCCTAAGCTGAAATTATGGCCCTGAGAGCTCACAGAACTTTTGTAATCGTGAATATGTATGAAATAACAGAACCATATGAGATTTGTTTTTGGTCAGGTCTTTGTGATGATATGATAATCGTATTATCTAGAGAGATGGCTGCCAGAGTGATAAGGTCATTCACGGATAAGGTTTTTTGAACTTATCTTAGACTTGATTCACAAGTAGCATTTAAGGGGAATGATAAATATGATCAAATATGAAATTAAAGATATTTTTAGTAGTAATATTCACTCTTTCTTGACACAAATTGAGGTAGGTAAACCATAAATTTCACTTTAACTTTTCACATTCTTTGTGTTTACCTGCTTTTAATAGTGAGCTTGATTCTTAACTGAACAAAGTTGGCCAATAAGGTGGGGTTTTTATTTACCGATACCGTAATTGTGATTGATTAAATTGTTTTAAATTTAGCGATTACCAAATCAGATAACCAAGTGCTTTGGCGATCTTAGCGAGTACGTATAGTGGCGTCGATAGAGAGCCAAAGAGAGAGAGAGATTATACAAGCCCCTATAAATATATAGAAAATTCATTGATAAATTACTACGAACCACAAAATCAGCACACGCGCACACCCACCACCCTCTCTTTCTCTCTCTCACACACACACAGACACACCATCCCGACTGGCTTATCTAGAGAAACGTTTGCAAAGTTGAAACGAAATGAAATTCTAAGAACAATCAAAAGCATTTCGTTCGCTTTTCCAGGGAAAAGCAAATATGTATGTATGGGAGATACGGTAAGCGTGCTGGGAATGGGGTTGGGGATTTGAAGGGGGCCTCAGATAAGAGCAGGAGCTAAGGTCAAGAGATATTATTATTATTATTCTACTTATTATTAAAATTACTCATAAGCAAACATTTCTTTGGATTTCACATTTTTTCTGTTGTCAGATTTCGAAACGCGGTCACAAATAAACGACATTTACATAAGCCAGACTTGAACTGGTTTTCGGTTAAGGTTGTTTTTTTGTCATAAACAATACATGGGATATACAAACATATTTTCGGAAAGATACATTTTCAATGGCTTCTCAGTTTTTCCTTTGAAAACTATTTGATTTGTCCATTGTTTCCGGGGAGTACTTGACCATTTTTCTCAGGAACTCAAGCGTAAAAGGTAATTGTGTATGGATTTTTTGCCAAGGTATGCGTTTTTTACGTTTTATATAGAGTCGAAAGGGTAAGTTAACTTTTAAAGCGAACTAAAAAATATTAATCATAAGAATACCACTGAAAAAACCTGATTTACTTGGATTAACTTCAAAACTAATTAAAATGATTATGATAAATTATAAATTTCAAACGGAAATTGCTTTAAGTATCGACTATATGAAATTATATCGCATTCTCCATAATGCATTTTCATTGGAAATGCAGTTAAGTTCTGACCTAACTGGCATGTGAATAGCCTTGCGAAAACTATACGTAACATCATGGCAATTAACTTCTGTGTAAAAAATAACAATAACAATAAGATTAGATAGAAATTCTGGGGAATCCGCGCTGACAAGTGTAACTTGTGGCAGCACTTTTATGGCTGTAATAACTGTAAGTACACAGAAATATGTGTTTGTGTTTTTCCGTTAATTGCAATTCCGAATAAAACATCTTAGTTTGACCCGTTCTCTTTCACTCTCCCACTCTTACACACACACACACACACACACACACTCACACAATTGAGTGTTTTGCCCACATTTCACTTTTGGCATTGCGTTTCAATTGAACAAATTCACGCGAACAATTAACAATAAACGAACAAAATCAAATTTCCATCGAAAAATCTCAACAGAAAACAAAAAAAAAAAAAAGAAAACAAAACAACAATGGGATGAAAGAGCAGCAGACGGTTGTGGAGGAGGGGTTTTAGGGGTAGGGGGGTGGCAGCTGTAGTAGAAGAAGCAGAGCAATAGCCAATGGCCTACCTATGCACGTGTGTATGTATGTGTGTATAATCATACATATGTATGTATGTGTAAAACTCTCTCACAGCGGACGCATTGTTGCTGGGCAGACAATTTGGCATTTTGGCAAGATCGGACGCTCGCTCGCTCTGCAAACAGCTGCCAATTAAGCGGCGTCTCTCTTACCTCCCGCTCTTATGTACCTCTCTGCTCATAACACACACTCACACTGCACTTATCCTGTTCGAAACCGTTTCATGTGAAAAGCTATTAAAGAAAAAAATTGAAAACGCTCTCAAGTTTAATACGAAAATTCAAGGAAATGAGCGGAAGAAGATGGTAAAAGCGGGTTTTACCCAGAATAATCAAAAAAAAAAAAAAAAAAGTGCACACACATACAATACATACATACACACACCAGAAAGGAACGCAGACAAGCGGCAACAACAATTTGACGCATTACAAACGAAGTTAATAACACCTTTTCTTATGAAGGGTACAACAACACCGATGTTCCAATATACCCCGCTCACCTCTGCTACCCAGTTGTTGTTGTACGGCTTCGGCCGAATTTAGCGGCTACACCTTTATACACCTTTAGCAAGAAGCCACGGCCAGCAGAGGCCCAACTAGCAGCAACCGGGTCTCTGCACTAGTATTGGTTTTGGTATGAGCGGGAGAGAGAGAGAGAGAGAGCGAGAGAGACAGCCAGTACAGTAAACACTGGATAATGAAGAAAAAGTAAGCAAAGTATTTCAATAATGTTAAATTTAACATATCAAAAATAAAAGCACTGGAAATGAGCTTTGAAATTGCTATTACTATTTAAAAGATATATTTTAAGTTATATAGTTTCTTAAATTATTTAGTTAAATTTAAAAAAATGTATATAAAATTAAGTAAAACAAATACAGAAAGTTTTGTAATAAGATTTAATTTAAAAAGTTAAATAAAAGAGCAGTTGTAAAGCCATAACACAGATAAGCAATAATAATCACAGTATCAGAATAGTGTTTTTTGCGCGTGGGAAACTGCATAATGGAATGTTTAGTCGATCCCCCTTAGCGAGTGCCCACTGTATCCGCATCTGCTCCGAATCTGCTAAAGCTGTATCTGTATCTGTGTGCGGGCCAGCTTCAGCTTCAGCTTGGCTTGCGGTGTTAAATGTTTGCAGCAAAAGCAGCAGCAGCAGCATTTTTCATTCAATAGCAACGGGCAACAACTACAGTGAGGCAGCTGCCAACATCATCAGCACTCGCACACACACAAACACACACAGGCACTCATACACGCGCGCTTGTATCTTTGTATCTGCTGGTGCTGCTGCTGCTGGCTCGCTTGGGCTGTCTGTCACTTCTCAGAAATCGGTCTAAATTAGAAAATGCGTTTCTGGGAATTTCGTATCGCTCTTTTGGGCCCACAGAGCGGCGTACATACACACACCAAGCGAGTGGCGGCGCTACATAAATTTGTAAATATATATATTACTATGAATATACATATATATTTATATATATGGACGATTCCCCCCGCAATTCCCAGAATGAATTTCCAATGAATCAATGGAATTTGCACGACAATATTGTTTTACCTCCCAAAATACACACACACACACACAGCCAACAGGCAAGTGCAAATAAAAGCAAACGACAGCCGTAATGGGTTGTGGTTGCTCTGCTTCCCCTTTTAATTTAAGCAAACACTGACATAAATATTTTATTCGTATTTATTCATTTTGTATTTACCTTTGATTTTCAATTCGATTTGCTGCTGTTGGCTATTTTCACTTGGTACACTTTTACGCTAGTTGGCACTTTGTGCAAACTGTGTTTTAAGCATATTTCATTCCTTCAGTTTGCGAGTATCTTCTGTATGAATTTTTCTCTTCAATTTAACTTAAATTTTAATTTTTGTTGTTGTTGCTGCTGCTGAGACACACACAGGCACACGCACACATACACAGCAAACAGAGAAACACTGCACCGTACAGATACGCGCACGCTCGCTAATTGCACTTTTCGATATCAAGAAAGCTGGCGGCTGTGATTGCACTCGACGACCTCAACAACTGTGTGCGCGATTCCGTCAATTTGTGCAATTTCTCTCTCTCGACAACGAAGCCACACACGCACGAAGAAGTTAATATCTTCTCCGAAATGTATCTGAGTATCTTTTTTTTCACGTCCGTATCGGTCCGAACCATTAGTGTGACTGCCACTCGGATATACAAATAAGCAACGGATTGGTGAAATGTACTAAATATGCCAAGTGCCACGAAAAAAAACTAGATTGTGGCACAGAGGTGGGGAACTTTGGTGGTATTTTAGCAATGACCTCAACCTTTTTACCTGGAATATACCAAAAATACTAGAATTTTGTGGCAAGTGAATGTATCAGAAAGTTAACCGTTATTTGCATATTACTTTTTAAAATTTACTTTGATAAAGAATATTTAAAGTATTGAAGAGTATCAGAAAAAAAGAGTAAATTATATAGATACAATTTATAACTTTATATTTCTGTACAATCTCTCTTAAAAGCCCGCCAAAATTCAAAACTCAGCCGGATATCTGAACTAAGAACAATTATACATTCCGCAAACAGACGCAATCAAGATCGTTGGGCTAATATTTGATCATTTGCAAAATAAATACACTGATAACAGCCTAAATTATACAATAAATAAACGGGGGCACATTTTGAAGAACTAATCTCAGCGGGCGACTGTCATGCGACTGGTCCGCTGTCCAGATAATAAATAAATTCAAATGCATATCTTTCAAAGGCCAGATAGTCCCGTCTCCACAGATCCGACTTAGTCAGTGTCAAGCGGTCAGGCAATAAAGACGAGCTCGAGATCGCCTCTCTTTCTCTATCTCCACTGCAGCGTAATTCAATTAAAATTAAAACGCAAATCTACGCAAGAGACCCGGAGTGAAATTGCCCCAAATTCAACGACAATTATAGGTCGCGCGCACGTCAGTAATCTCAGCATCTGCGTGGGCCCCACTCACACTATATCCCAAGTTCCGGCCATGCAATCGGATCCATCTTCGCTTGGCGCGGAATCCATACCCATGCACCGCTCCACTTCAATGCCCGTGAAGCCCAAGCCGCTGGAACAGAAGCCGCTGTTGCGATCCTCCGAGAAGGAGACGGTCAATGCGGCGGACTACTATCCAGAGAGTCCTGGCTTTGTGCGTCGCAGGAAGTCCAAGACGACGGGAGATCAGCTGGAGACGCGCAGTGAGCAAAAGTAAGTCGAGATCTATAAATAAGAATACCTTTTATTAGGAAACTTATAAAAACAAGACTAACATTTCAAGGTCTTTATAGAAGTAATTAATTAAGACCAGTAAATAAATAGGCAAGGTTAAAAAAGTAAATTAACGGTTATATAGTACTTAGTCTAGGAAAAATATAGTTATTTAAGCTAAACAAGAAAGGAAACTAATTTTGGGTAGTTGTACTTTATATACCCTTGCAGTTTGATATTGAATTAAAGCATCGAATCGAAATATGATCGTAACTAAGCTTATAATATTCGCATTCTTTGAATTGTTTTTTTATTAATATATTTAAATTATAAAAAAAAACGCATAACTTAAACAAAAATGCATTATTTTTAATTCAGAAAGCTGTTCTATGTTAGTTTTTATTAGCTTAATCAATCTGCATACTAAATATAAAGTTTTAGAAAATTTAAATTTTTGGCAATTTTTGAAATTTTTAACAATGTATCTTTTTCTGAAAAAAAAAAAAAAGGAAAAATATCGAAAATTTATTTTTCAACCAGACATGGCTAGATCGACTCGGCTTTTGATGCTGATCAAGAATATATATGATTTATAGGGTCGGAAATGATTCCTTTGATGCGTTTCAAGCATCTAAGTAAAATTATGATACCCTGCAAGGGTATAAAAATGCAAGTTTAAATAGTTTTTAATTATTGTTAATCTTATACTCCCCAGTTTTCCCTGCACCAATGACTGGGCAGGCAGTACCATTGAATTAACACCAGAGCCGGGAACATCTTCCTCCGATATCCTGCGACGCAGCCTACATCGGGTGATGGAGAAGAATGGCAAGGAGAACGTTGTGTTTCGCCGCATACCAGAAAAGTCCTGGCGTTATATGCGGGATCTGGTCACTACGCTGGTAAGATCCTGGTTTGGCCACAAGAAACCTTCATCGTCTAGCAACGATCCGTCGCGATCGGATGTGTATAGCATAACGCCCAGCATACAGCGTAAACTGGATGAGTTGGCCCACGAGCCGCCGCATCTAAGTCCCCATCTCGCCTCGAAGACTGATACCAGCCAAAGCGAGCGGGTTACATTTAGCATTTAACCTCTAATCCACTAATCGACGAGCCCATGACATACACTGAAATACTCATACATATATTAATAAATACGAAATTAACCAATTAAATCACTTGCATTGCTACACTGGGAAATCCTGGGATCATTAGTGAGAAATGCTTAACCGGAGCTTCCCCCCTTTCGACTTGCGCAGATGGAGCTGAATTGGAAATACATGCTGACCATATTCCTGGGCAGCTATTTTGCCTGCTGGCTGCTCTTCGCCGCCCTTTGCTATGTGGTTTCCTACTCGCACGGCGACTTCATCTTTGATCCCATCAGTGGTGCAAGAATGGGCGAGGGCAAGGATCCATGCATCTATGGGGTAGGTAACTGGGTGGCCATGATCATCTATTCGGTGGAGACACAGACCACTCTGGGTTTCGGCGAGAAGTATGCCAGCGAGGAGTGTCCGGAAACGGTGTTCCTGTTCGTTATGCAAATGGTAAGCGCCGCTCTGATCGAGGGAATTATGGTGAGCGTGATCTATGCCAAGACGGCTCGTCCGGCCAAGCAGATGACCAAGTTAAAGTTCAGTGACAAGGCGGTGGTAAGTAGAAATGCCTCCGATTAGGAAGATCGGATTCGATGCTCCAACTTGTGATTATCTCCCTTGCAGATCTGTTATCGCGACGGCCAGCTGTGTTTGCTTTTCCGCGTGTGCGATCCCCGCGAGCAGCAGACCATCGAGTCCAAGATACGCGTCTACATGATCATAGACAAGCGGTGAGTCACTGTCTCATTTTTGGGGATGTCTGTTCTTTTCAGTTATCTTGGTAAATAAAGATTATGTCCGGGAGACCTATAAATATTAAATATTTAACTTAAGATACAGTGATAAATATGCTCAAAGCTTTCAACTTACCTATTTATGAGATTCGTTTAACTTCCTGGAAAACCTTAATTTATGTTTGGTATTCAGTAAATATTATTATTAATATTATAAGTTCTAGATTCCATTACCAACTCTTACTATATCAGTTTTATCTTAAAAACCATCTTATCTTTGCAGCACGCGCGAGGGTGAGGTCATAAAAACTCACACGGAACTGAAGCTGGAGGGGAATGGCGAGCAGCTGATCGTCTGGCCCGATGTCGTCTGCCATGTCATCGACGAGACGAGTCCCCTGTATCAGTTCAGCAATGCCAAACTCTTTAATGCCGCCCAGTTTGAGCTGTATGTGTCCATTGTGGGCACATCACCGGCCACTGCCCAAATGACCGAGGCCAAGACATCGTATCTGCCCAGAGAGATATTCTGGGGACAGCGGTTTGTCAACATTATCCACTATGATGCCCAGAACGAGAGGTATTTGGTGGACTATGAGAACTTCAATAGAACCATTTCAGTGGATATGCCCATTAGGCTGGCGGCCACAAACGATCAGCTAAAGTTGGAGTACAGAAAGTAAAGGCTACTAACTTTACCAGAAATCCGAAAAGATTATAATAGATATCCTTAACTTAACGTTGAATGCGATTTCGATATATCAAAGTTTCAAATAATTTCGATATGGTATTAGCGCAATAATAGGAACGAATAAATGTATAACAATTTCTTTCTATTATTATTTAAAGTAATCATATAAAATTTATTAAAATCAAAACTTTCTATCTCCTCTTCTGGGTTAAACCTTTCTTTCTCTAACAGTCTTTACAAGAATCTCATTCTTTTAACGATTGGCAAATAACAAACAGTTTAATAAATTAAGGACAAATAAATAAAACTTAGCTCATTGTCCTGCGGATTCGGTTTCCTCCTTCTTTTTGTAAAAGTCCAACTTTGCTCTCAGCTGTGCATTTTCCCGTTGTAGGTGATGAAACTCGCGGACAAAGTCATCGGCTCGCAGGAGATGGGCCAAACCGTCGCGTATGTCCTGCGTATTCTGCAGCTGTTGCTTCGAATAGTTGGCCAAATGGTTGACCATCTGCCGATGGTTCCAGTTTGCTATATATTCCAATTCGCGTTCCACATAGCCGCAGCGTTCGTCGACAAATTCCTTTAGTTCGCTTATCTCCTTGCGCCAATCGACGCCATCCATTTGCACAGAGGATAGACCGCTGGAAGATTTGGCCAGCAGCTGTTGTGGCTTCAAGTCGGTATTCGAGGACTGTGGAGTGACATTGGCATGATGCGGTGTGCTATTACGGCTGGAGGAGAGCAGGCGCAGCCTTTGTTGCATATCCGCGTCCACTGGAAGCGGAGGATTCTCCTTGTCGCTGCCAGTGCCTGGGCTGCTGGTCACGGAAACATGAGATGACTGATCCTCGCCATGCTCATCGGTCTCGGCAATCTTCATAAGCTTCACCTCGCCGGAGTGGTTGCTGCGATCCTTAAGGGGACCGCTTAAGGTCTCTGCAAGAGAATAAAGTTCACAAAAGTTTCGATATAGAATTAATCTCCACATACGCTGCAGTGACTCCGCTGTAGTGTTGTTGCACGAGCTCTCGACCGAGCTGGGCACAGATCCTCCTCCTCCTCCTCCTGCACTCATACTCTGATGCTGGGCAGTTTCATTGGGATTGGACCTGCGGTTGAGGGTCTCCCAATCGAAGCTGTCCCTGTGAGAAGTGCTGAACCGTGTGGACATGCGATCCACTGCCCTCGGACCCTGGGCATCCAGGAAGTCACAGAACGAATCCCGTCGCGGTCCGGTATTAACCGGCGTAACCATGCCATAGCCCATGCTTGCCATGTTGTTCAGCTGCTGCTGCGTGGTCAGCAGATTTGCCGCAATGGATTTGCGAAGCTCATCACTGGGGGCACGCTCTACGCGAGGAGTATCTTGCGCCAGGGCACTAAGACCTCCTGAGTTATTTAGACCACCGATTTGCGGATTATCCTCGCTGGATAGAGGAACAAAAGCCACACGGGTCACAGCGCCATCGTGAACCTTTTTCACGGCCAACGGCGCCTTGGTGCTCCTCATATCGTAGGCAATTAGCTCACCCTTAAGATTGCCGGCACAGAAGTAAGTGCCGCACTCACTGAGCGCCACCGTGGACAGGGGATGGGAGTAGCTTAGGCGATCTGTCGAAGCCTGCGCTCTATTTCGTCGTATATCGAAGATATTGATCTTGCAATCATAGCCCACACTGACCAGCAGCGCAGGCTGGGATGAGCACATGCTGATGTCCCGGCAGGGAGCGCTGTGCGCCTCGCTGGCATGGAAGATTTTCCTCTTGCCCTGGACATCGTACACGGTTACGGCTCCCTTATACGAAGCAATCGAGAGCTGGAAGCGCTTGCTGGGATGGAAGCGTACCAGGGTGGAGCTGCAATGACCCGATAAGTTTCTGTCTTAGTAATTAACGATCACGCACTTACTCGCCATCGATGGTGAAGGTGTTCATCTTGAGCTTGGTCTTGGTGCCGAGGATATTGATGCTGCCGCCCTCGCGCACGGCGGCTATATACTCATCCGTGCTGTTGTAGTCCATGTAGAGAACGGTGCTGCGCTGCGGATCCGCAGGAAACCTATGAATCAGCTGTGCTGTCCGTATGTTGTAGATCTTAATGCTGCCGCTCTGGCCCACAGCAATCTCTTCGAGCGTTTGCTTGGCGCAGGCCACACAGTAGGCATTGTCAATGGTGAGCTTGCGGACTCGCTGAATCTCGGGACCTGCTGTTGAGTGATATAGAATTATTGTCAATTCATTACTAGCTTTCCTAATCCCAACTTACTCTTCTCCTCGTTCTCCTTTATCCGCATCACCGCCAAGCCCGCCATTTTATCCACCTCGACAAAAACGCGTCCCTGGCCATTGAACTGAAAGTCCCTCGGTTCACCACCAGCATGTGCATATTCGGACTTTGTCTCGAGGTCCGCAAAGTCAGAGAGCACAGTTTTCTTGGAAGTGGAAATCAAATGCATTTTGATTTATTCAAGAATTTTGAATTTGAAATGACAGTCAGTGTCTGATGATAGATTTGGTGCAGTGTGCCCGCAGCTTTTTTCGATAAAATACCAAAATCAATCGACGATAAAGCGATTAAGAGGTTTCCACTTTTTTCTAGCCGGAATTTGCTCTGCTGTTAATTAACGTTTTTATAAATATTTTCCAAAAAGATTATGGGACTTAACCATACTCTAGATTATAAAGTTCTCCGATAATATGTTCAAGAACGGGGCAGAGCTAATATTTTAGTCGTGAAATATGAAAATATTAAATATACAATTACACGTTGAAAACTCTGTCAATTTCAACAATGTAATTCCTATATTTGTAAATATTTCTCGCTTTAAAAATTTCCAATTTAAATCCGCAAAGGTTTTCGAAAAATAAAGGAAAAGTAGACTGTTCGTGGTATTTAAGCAGATACATTTGGTGCCGCTTTGGAATCAGTGTGAACGCGACGGCGAGTTTTGCCATTCACAACGAAATCGATTCCGATAACTTTTAGTGGCAAAAAAACAAGAAGCAGAGCAGCGACCAATCACCTGCAAAAAAGAAATAAATTGCCGAGAAATGATAAAAAATATATAGTCCGCCTGTTTTGGAGTGCGTTGAAATGAGTCTGGATCTTTAGCATTTAGTGACACGCAACTTATTCCCCCAATTTCCCACGCTGTGACGGGCAGGAGAGCCACTGGACAAAGGCCAGCTACAACAGTCGTACACACACACACACACACACACACACACACACACAGACACACATTCACACACCCTCGTACGGCGTAGAAAGCAACAACAAATACGACGAACGGAGGCCAACATCACCTGCTGGAAAAATGGAGGCGGATGGACTAACAAACGACCAAACGGAGAAGGTGCTCCAGTTCCAGGATCTTACCGGCATCGAGGATATGAACGTGTGCCGCGACGTCCTTATCAGACATCAATGGGATCTCGAGGTACGAGCGGCAAACATATGTATGCACACGACACAGTCACGGCAGTGAGCGTAGAATGCACTTACAGTGGCGGTCCGTCTAAGAGGTCATGCCTCGCCACTTCTAGGAAAATAATCCATTTAATTATCTTTGTTGATTTGAATTAGTAATTAAATATTTGTCTTTCCAGGTGGCCTTCCAGGAGCAACTAAATATCCGCGAAGGCCGACCCACTATGTTCGCCGCCTCCACGGACGTGCGAGCGCCCGCTGTGATCAATGACCGCTTCCTGCAGCAGGTGTTCTCCGCCAACATGCCGGCGGACGGACAGTGAGCAGGGTGCCCAGTGGCCCCATACCCCGCAGCTTCACCGGAATCCTGGGCTACGTGATCAATTCGTGTTCCAGTACTTCTACTCTACCGCTGACGAGCATTGTAAGCGCATTTGTAACTTGGGCCGGTGGCAATGAGCCGCGATTGGTCACGGATCCGCTTGGGGACGTGATGAAGTTCATCAGGACTACTACGAGCGGTATCCTGAGCATCCGGTCTTCTACCAGGGCACCTATGCCCAGGCTCTGAACGATGCCAGCAGGAGCTGCGCTTCCTCATCGTCTATCTGCACAAGGATCCCGCCAGAACCCCGACGTGGACTCATTCTGCCGCAACACACTCTCCTCCCGCTCAGTCATTGACTATATCAACACAAACACCCTGCTGTGGGGCTGCGATGTGGCCAGCCAGAAGGCTACCGGGGTGATGCAGTCGATTACGGTAAGGAGCTACCCGCTGATGGTGATGATCAGCCTACGGGCGAATCGAATGATGATCGTGGGACGTTTCGAGGGAGATTGTACGCCGGAGGAGCTGCTGCGTCGCTTCCAATCGGTGACGGCTGCCAATGAAGTGTGGCTGAGTCAAGCACGTGCGGATCGTTTGGAGCGCAACTTCACACAGACACTGAGGCGGCAGCAGGACGAGGCCTACGAGCAGAGTTTGCTGGCGGACGAGGAAGGAGCGTCAGCGACAGAGAGAACGGGATGCAGTGCGACAGGCGGAGGAGGCTGAGGAGCAAGCGCGACGTGATGTGGAGCTGAGAAAAGAGGAAATTGCTCGGCTAAAGATCGAGCTAGCGACGCTAGTGCCATCGGAGCCGCCAGTGGATACTGTGGGCGCTATTGCCGTCGTGTTTAAGCTGCCCAGTGGTACGCGACTCGAACGGCGTTTCAATCAGACGGATTCGGTGCAGGTAAGTTGCTTATCAAGTAACGAGTCACTATTTAAATATATTCACATCTACTCTTTCCCTCCCAAAGGACGTTTATCACTATCTCTTCTGCCATCCCGATTCGCCGGATGAATTCGAGATCACAACGAATTTCCCGAAAAGGGTGCTTTACTCGAAGGCTGACGTGGACACCGCCGAGGGCGCCGCCAACGATGCGCTGAACAAGACCCTCCATGACGTGGGCCTCAAGAACCGCGAGGTGCTGTTCGTCAACGATCTGGAAGCGTAACCAAGCTAGCACCACCTACCAAATGTTAGATTCAAGCATCGTGTTACCAGCTGCAACGCATTACCAAAACTTGAACCAAGTTTTAAGTAGTCGTAGTCCAACAACGTCCAAGTCGGAGGATAACAAAATGAAACTATTCCTAATTTAATCATGAATATTAATATATAAATAATTGTTTAACAATGCTTAGGTTGATTCTCTCTTGTAATCTATGACCCCTGACCTCTGCCACCACCCACCCGA